GTAATTCCAAAGTGAAGCTACTCTCCTTTTTCTAAACCTCAATCCCAATCATCCACAACTTTTCCTTTTTCCTTCTAAAGAGTTGAAAGCTTCACCTACCTGTTCTCGGCGAAAGTGAGGCAAAGAAGAGCCGAAGTGGGCGAGACGAGCCTGACTCCCAAAATCCAGCCGAGTCGTGGGGGATGAGACTGTGAAGTGGCTGCGAGGGCCTTATGGGATAATTGGACTCAGAGCGCGTGCAGCCAAGATCAAGCAGGTGTGCTCTGTCACAACAAGGGGAGGAGAGAGAGAGAGGGAGAGAGGCAGAAAGAGAGAGAGGGAGAGAGAGCGAGAAAGAGGGAGCGAGAGAGAGAGAAGAGAGTGTAGGAGGGAGGGGTCCGACTGTCAAGCTCCTCTCGGACTAAAACAATTGGTGGAGGACTTCCCCCGTTCTTGCAAAGCGTGTTCCAAAAACAGCTGGAAACGGAGAAGGCAGGAAGACAAAAAAAAAAAAGGGAGAGTTAGAGAAAGTTGAGAGAGGAAAGTATCTAGGAGAAAAGAGGAGAAAGAGGAGCTGGAGTTTAAGGCAAAAAAGCAGCGATGGGGCTGGCAGTCACCCTCAACTGTGACATCTGGTAATGATAGGTCCTGTGTGGAGCTGAGCTCAGAACGCTGCACACAAACTCTTTTTCCTTTCTCACACACTCAGGGTCATTTATCCTCTTTAGGAGTCTATACAAACACACACACACACACACACAATACACACACTTACACTTGTTCCAACATCCACAGTCTCCCCCTCTCCCATAAGCATTGAAAAAGCCCAACAAATAACCTTTATCTTCATCCTTACAGTAAATCGCTTTACTTTAAAATGCTATGATTAATAATGTTGGTTTGATAAATATGTTATTCAAAAACTCTTTGTCTTTTAATAAAATTGTCCTGGGCCAAACCAAATAAAACGTGGACCCGTTTAGTTGTACACGACACAGATATGCTCACAGGGATTAAAGAAAGACACACACAAAGATCTTCTTCAACGGCTCTCTCTCTCTCTTCAGTTTTTATAGCCATCTGTTGCCAAATAGTGAAAGTGACTAATTGTTGTGCCTGTCACTGGTGTTAACGAGGATTCCCAACATATTTACTTTCCAAAAACATCATGAGGCCTCTCCCGTGAGAACTACGATCTTATCTGGCAGATTTATTAATAAAAAAGAAAAAAAAAATCCTTTTCTTATTGCTGGGCTTTATAGAAAGCCATTATGTGAACAGATTTAGCAGGTAACACGCAAAAATCAAATCTGGTTCTAATCAGGGACATAGTACCAGCAAAAAGAAAATGTTTGGAAGCACTGTTTAATGCTGCTGCAGGAACGCTTCAAGTTCAACTTTGGGCCACGTCTTTACCAGATTTCAGAAACACTTGAATGTAAAGAATCTGGGCCAGATATTCTGTGACTTTCAGACCATTATTGGTAAGAATGAAGCATTAAAGTCACCTGTCGTACCTGTACGTGTTGTTTCTGCTCTCTGATGACATGAGTATAAAAAAGCATCCGTCTCCCTTTGACTCTTCTGCTTCTTGTGGTCTCTTATCTTCAAGGCCGAAAAAGATCAGATAACACATGAGCAAGTTTCATCCTGTCTGGCTTTGTCTCTTTCATCCTGACTAGTTTTTCTCAGTAGGAGGTGGACGTACAAAAACATTCGTACAGATCTCTCAGATATTGTCAATTGTGATCTAAAAGAAAAGACAGAAGGTAAAAGAGGAAAAGGACAATCATGGAAAAAAGGTCAGAGACATGGAGCGCTAATAAAGTCCAGGTGTTATAACGCAAATGCTGAGATCATACTTGGAACATGTCCCTAAACGATTGAACTGAGAGAGGAGAAAACCACATTTGCATCTTTCATTCTTGGACAGATGATGGAAAAGATTTTGGAGAAAGAAGAGATTGCCTCCACAGGTGGAAATGTGGACGTTGATGTGAGGACTTAACCTCCAGATCTATGGGTGGCCTCCGGCAAAAGTGCCTCCTGGAAGAAAATATTTCTAAGCAAAAACTAAAGTCTAAACTCTCTCAGGAAAACCAAAGATGAAATATGTTTATGCTAGATCAAAGGGGCTACTGTTGTAGAAACATTAATTAATATTTACCTGCCAGCTCAGGTGTTAATGTTCCACCACAGACAGCTAAAATGAGACACAGATATTAAAAAAAAAAACCCCAATGGGATCAGGGATATCAAAGCTGGTGGAGTGGTAGGGAATAGGAGAGTCAGAGGAATCTAGGGTCGATCTACAAAAGTCCACACCTCTCTCTTGAACTGTTTTCATGATTTTCCAATAATAAGAACCAGGATTAAAAAAGGACAGAAGATCCGGGAAGATCTGTATTTAGAAGAAGCAAAAAAAAAAAAAAAAAAAAGAGTTTGACACAGAAGGTCAAAGGTTCTCTACCAAGCTGTGACCTTAGTAACTTCCTGGCAGAGATTTTGCCCTGAGCAACCCAGGGTGATCAAACTGTCAACTCTAATGAGTTCTGACACCGTGGTAGGTCCTTTATCTTTAGGTCTGTCTTTGAGGACCTACCAGCTTCTGGAGCATTGTGTCCATTAAAAACACTTACGTACTACAGCACCTACTACAGTTCACTTTTACGTATTAACTGCCAACATTTTAGTAACAGTGGCGCTTTGGCCCAGAGGCAATGTCTCTGTCATTGGTGTGGAATCCCAGGGTTCACCTCCTGGGCAAGTTCGAATCCCGGTTAGGGCGGTTGGTACCTTCCAGTGGACTCTCCACCCGCAGGAAGGTTTGGTACGGTGCAATGTGATTTGGGTGGCGACTGCTGCCCCCGCGACCCGGTAACGGATAAGCGGATGAAAATGGATGGATGGATGGATGGATTTTAGTAACATCAAATTTAAGATACATTTAAATTTTCATCTGTTTCATCTTCAAAAATAGTTATAGTTGTCTTTTTTTAAGCTTTTTTTCTTCCCCCCCAAGTCTTCTGTAATACTATACTATGTATTTTTGCCTTTTTGTTGCGAATTTCTCTATTTTATTTTGACTAATATTTGAAGTACTGAAGTTATAGTTTTTCCTGCTAGGCTTTAGCATTTTCAGGACTATCTGCAATACATTTGCAAAGCAAATTCTTACTTGTTTCAGACAAATTCAGATTTTTATTAAATTGTTTTTTGCTAGCCTTACAGTAACTTTCAAGTTAGCAAACCTTGCATGTTTGCTAAGTAAAGCCGTCCCAGTTTCTAGCCTTTGCTCTGCTAACCAAAAGTGTCGTTTAATGGTTACAAAAAAGAACCCACCTAGAAACCATTTCCGGCCCTCTCTATATTAAACTTCACTTTTTCCAAACAAAACCTACAGTAAAAGTCAACTCACAACCCCACCCCCTAATACTTTCACGGACACACACACACACACACACACACACTGCTCTGTTAAGAAAACCATTAGGGCAGAAACACAAATGGTCAATTCTGGCTCATTACATTCAGTAATCAATTCCTTGAGGCAAAGTGATAACTGTATGAAATACGAAGAAAAGAAAATACCTTGTAAAAAGGGGATATTATGGGCTGCACCTTTTAGTTTGAGAGGAGTTGATGGATGGAAGCTAAATGGAAGGGGTGGCTCCGCTGAGAGACATAGCCTCGGGTGACGTCTAGATGAAGGTGATGAAACATCTCAGCTTTTTACACACTTTTCTTCTTTTTACATGCTTCGCCCACTGTAAAAATAAAAAAAAACAGCAGATGAAAGTTTCACTTTTTAACGGTGGGTAGAATTTCTAAACACTAAAAATGGTTTTAAAGAGAGAAAGGGATTTTGAGAAAGAGTTCCTGCACACACGTCTCTGGTTTTATATCACTGTAAACCGACGGCAAATCACTCCAACTCCGACGTCCCACTGCACAAATTTGATGTTTGAAATTCATACCCTCCTTATGGTTTAGCCTCTGCTGCTTTTAGCAGGGGTCAATTTCTTATCCTCTCCCTTCTGCAAACTTGTATATTTTTATCCTTTTCACCCACAGGGAAAAGTGCAAATTGCTGTTGCCATCTTTTTTACACACACACTCACACACACCACAGCAGTGATTATGACAGCCTTCATAAAGTGTGTCTGTTTCCAGTTCATTCTCTCACAAACTGCTGACTCTGCGCAGCCTTTATTTGCTGTATTGGCTCAGTCCACATTTATTACACTGATATTTAAATGAAATCACACTGATTTTTGCTGACACTGTTCAAAGTAGCAGGGTGAGGAAATACAGACTCACTTTTGTCCTTTCTTTAGTGAGAAGGGGGTTTTAGTTAGCTTTTAGGGCTGTTAATCACTAAAATTAAAGATTTCTTTTTGCCAAACTCAGGGCTACGTTGAGCCTTTGAGCAGATTTAATGACTTAATTACCATATACCTGTGTGACTTCTCCAGATTTGCTGTTACCTTTAGGCTAATTGAAGCAACAAATCACAGCAAATCTGTTTTCTGGTGTAACCTTAATTAATCTTTGAGCTAATTCCAGCTACTGTTGCTAACCTTTTAGCTTAAATGTATCTTTGACAGAACCTTCATATTTTCTTACTCTTTTTCAAGACATTGATTATGGCCAACTTTATGTTATTTCTTAAGCTTTTTCTTTTATCAAATAGCACTTGATCCCAACATTTTCTTTTGTCTTTTAGCAGAAATGATAAAAAGCTTTGAAGTAATCTGTCCAGTACTGGGTGACCTGGGTTGAATTAGTTTCACCAGTTGAACAACAGCTCTAAAAATATATCATGTTGTGGTTTTTATAAAATGTAATTGTACTCTAACTACCCCAGAGGAAGCAGCTGGCTCTCTGATGTTTTTACATAATCAAAATTTGGGGGAAAAGAGGCTGTACACCCCCTGCTGTAGACACATTTAGAAATTCCATGCTTGATTGATTTATAATGGTGATTAAAGTCACAGCCTGGTGTTCAACAGGTACTGTACATTATCATTTCTTTCCATGACACGCAGTGTAATTATAAGACTTGAGGGAAAACAGAGATTTGTGGCACTCAACGCTCTTTTCACTGAAAAGCTTGGCATCCCAGCGCATCAGGGATTCTGTGTAAACGCACGGAACTCTGGGAAGGTCGGAGTCGGTTTTGTTGGCAGACAAGAGAACTCCTTGACTGTTCACCTCGGCCCAGTATAAAGCAGAGACAGACTGAGTGGAAAGAGAGAAAAATGCCCACCAAACACATCCAAACTCTGCAGGAGATTAATAAAGAGTCTCCTGAGAGCAGGGGACACTTGCACATGCAGCTACTTGTGCTGCAGAACTGTGCAGCTTTTGTAAATGAAAACAAGTGTTAACGTGGCCATTACATGAAAACAGTGGTTCAACAGTTTATTTAATGACAATTATAATCTGATGGTAGATGTTGATTTTCATGTTTATTTCGGCCCCATTGGCCATTTATTTAATTTGTCTTTTACCTAAATGGGCGTTGGTCACATATGACTGTCACTGAGACAGTACAGATCTGTGGCCCATGTTTACACATTTCTGGGCCACATATGGTGTGGGATATAGGTAATACAAGCATTATACTCCTGTCCACAGGATATGGGC